CCTGCATTTGATGACTGAGTTTGCACGATTCGGAGAATTTTTCAGAGGATTTTACTAGAATAGGTGAGGAACAACTAGGGATTCAAGGCTCAAGCTGGAAGAGAGTATGGACGCCCAAGAGTCTGATTCACAAGGAGAAATTCCATAACAATGTCCTGCTTTAAGTACTGGGCAAAAAGTTCATACAGAGATTCCTGTTTATTCACAACTAAAAATCCCAACCCTAAACACCACCAGCAATCGAGGTTGACAGCTGGCAGTTTGGACATTTGTTCATTAACATTTGATTCCACACAAGAACTTAAAGAGAAGATTTTGAAGGGAAAAATAAGGTATGAGAAACATCATATGAAGGAAATTCAACTGCTTCCTTTACCAACTACTCCTAAAACGAGCTTCAGTATGGCAAGTCACACAACTACTTAACTGGAGAGCCCCTTACAATCCAGAGAAGGCTACCACACTGCTGAGAACCTAACCTTAAGGGAGCTTCACCGGTTTGGTTCCGTCAGTCCCTGGTGTCTCTGAGCTGTCTGACAGAGGTAAGGCTAGCAGAGGAAGCAGTGCTCAAACCACTTCTGAATATCTGCTTAAGGATTTACAGGTTTCTGGCTTACCTACCAGAAAATAAGTGAGGGGGAAGGAGAGGGAGGGGAGAGAAAGAATGGGAATAATTTACTATATACTTGGAAGTAGTCGAGTAGCTCTCCTCCTCCGCTATGAGAGACCTTTTTCCCCTGCAAAAGAAAACTTTTCTTACATGGACTCGATGGGTTGGTTTGTCCTTCACAGCTTAAGAGGCTGTTTCAACCACTAATTGCTTCTAGTTAGGAAAAAAAAAAAATTTATTCCACAAGCATGGCGCTCTGCCTTTAAAACGCAGAGAGGTCAGAGAGCTTGTGGGGTTTTCTGTTTGTTTTGTATCAATAACAGAAGGCAAAAGCAGACAGCAATGCGGATACCCAAGTCAGCTCTAAATCCATGGAGCTCCAGAAATGGAAACAGCCTGGTTGTCATAGCAGCGGAGCATGATACCTGAGCTAATTACTCAGTCTAAGAGGCAGAGCTAATTAGCCCAGATGCAGCATCATACTGACACAGTTATAATCCTTCTGGGACCTGGGCACGCGTATTGCTGATTAGACATTTCAGCTCGCTCACAACTAGCTCAGAAATCTCAGCATACTACGTTGTGCTTTACATAAGTGTTCAAAAAAAAAAAAAAAAAGGGAAAAAAAAAATCAAACCCATGTTCCTACAGAGACAAGAGTAATGGGAAAGAGCTCTCAAAAAATCCCAGACAACTATGAACACGGATCTGCAACTATTCTGCAAGAGAGGAGGATGCCTGTATCCACGATGCTACAGACCAAACTACAACATCTGAAATGGAAATCAGTAGTCTGGATACACTTCCACCCCCAGCCAAGTGAAAGTTATTTGAAAAATCAGTTTATCATTATGACAACCTAAATTTAAAAAGTTCTCTGTTATCTAAAAATGCAAAACCCTAAATTAAGTTTCTGACAGGAAAGTAGTAAGTTAAATACAACACCACCTGCTTCATAGATTGTGAATATTGTGGAAAATAAATACCTACTGCCAACAAACAAACCTGTTTTCTTCAAGGACTGGAAACAGCATTTATTTGCTCTTTTTCCAAGAAGAAGAACTATTTTGAAACTAACTTTTTCATCATTCTAAGGTACTATTTGATACAAGATCCTCCCTCTAGAAGCAGCAATGCATTTTAAAATGGTAGGAAACAAAAAGCGAATAGGTGAATTTATCAGTCCTTGTTAAGCATTTTCCTGCCACAGAAATACAATGTAACATTATGGAGAAGACCACACAGGTGAACTGTGAAAGGCAGGGATTTTTCTTGGTATTCTTGAAGAAAAAAACAGCAAGACAAAGGAAAAATTCTTTAAGAAACTCTTTTCACTTCTTTGTAATCAAAATCAGCAAAGGCAACAAATGTACAGATTGAGCGGGGAAAAGAGTGGAATGATGGCATGAAAAGTGATTTTTAACTCCCATGCAAATCTAATCAGTGAACCGGGATGCTTTTGGTAGTTCAATAGGACAAATTTCTAATTTATACCAAATAATCCTTTAAAAACCCAGAAAGATTCCTGAAGTCATGCTAAAACCAAATCTTTCATGTTTTAATGGACATGACTGTATGAACCAGAACCCATTATGTGGAAAGTAACTGATTAAACAGATACTCCGAAGAGTTGACAAAGGAAAGGACAGACATGCTTGAATATTTGGTTTATATTTATTCAAGTTTAACAGATCTTTTAAGTTTGCCTGCAAATTTCATTAACTTTACATTTTCTGGGGTATTAATAATTTACATACCACGCCTGCTTATTCATATTTACAAGAGATTACTTCTCATTTCAGGAACACCTCTAAGGAAAGCTAAAGGACGCTAAGAGCATCATTCAAGCATATGCACGGCCCAAAAAGGATGGGATAAATATATAAAAATCAATGTTTCTCAAAACAGAAAGATATTTTTGTCAAGGTCAATAATGTTGCTAAATAAAAAACTGTTTGGTGCCTAAATGATTTCTAATTAAAGTCAGAAAATAGGCACATACTCTTCACCTGCTTAAAACTTTTGGAAGTAATTACAAGCTAAGTGCAATTTACATATATGTAGATATTAAATAATTCTAAGCACTGTTAAAATGGTAGATTTATAAACCTAGCAACACTTTCAAGGTTTCCTGAGGAACTTCCTCCCAAGCTAGTTGTCCTCTTCCCTTCAAGCTAATGATCACAAAGTTAGATATATTATCAGTGAGTATTTAGATCTAACATTGGAAAAGAAGGCTGGAGAATCCAAGACAATGTTTGTTGAACAAACTGAAAAGAAGAAAATTAAGGAATGTTAAGGAAGATAAAGGAGCCACTGAAATTCAGGAGGAGCTGTTATTTACCAGAAATGGAAACAAACAAAAATGTCAACACAATCTTCAAAGGGAAATAAAAATGTCAGAATAGAGTATATCATTTTCCCATGAGAAAGGTACTTGTCTTTCTCACAAAATACAAAACATCCCAGATCTCCACACCTCATTTCCATTAAGGACATATTAGTATGCATTTTACCCTAAGAGGACTATCAATAAAATCCACCCTCTTCTGACAAAGTTTTTACTTATTCTAGTAGACAGGCATGCTAATGGAAATTGGAAAGAACAGAACTGTTTGCCAGTACTTTAACCCTGTTTTACAGCTATTACTGTACTCACTGCAAAAATTCTAACACAGAAATAAATCCCCCAAACACACAATAAACTCAGGGGATAAGTCATTTTTGCTTCCTTTCTCCTATCATTGTTGTTTGGGACCAGAAGGCCACTAAAGCAAACTCAGCAGAGATATATCCCTGAGGGTACAAAGTAGAGTACTGAAAATGGACAGAAAGTCAGCATTAAAAAAAAAAAAAAGTAAATGACATCAGCCACTTGAAGCGCTGCTGCTTCACAGCCAGTAACGGAAAGCTTTTCTGGGAAGCAATTGCTTCAGCAGCATATGGTTGACAGCAGGCATTCAGCCTGCATCAGTCAGTAACAAGAGGTTTAAAAAATACAAATCATCTGAGATTCTAAGAGTGCTGCTTTCTCTAACAAGGGGAAAGAAAGGAAGTAGAAATCAGAGAGCAGCAGAGGAATGAAGATATTTATGACATGCCTCCATCAAAACCTTGCATCAACAAGAATAAAAACATATGGCCAAGGATGCCTTTGGTTTAGTGCTGCCCAAATTCTTAGAAAGAAGCCTATGGGATTTTTCTACATATATACCTTTAGGAGAGTGTTAGGGAAAAAAAAAAAAAAAAAAAAGCAAAGAGAATACAACTACTTTCACAGAAGCTGCCAAACAAGTCTGAAAAATATTTTAAGGAATCTGTGTGAACAGTACAGACATTGACACAGGCTGGTAATTTAAACCCTAAGCTTCAGCTCTCTCACAGAATGCTTCCAGAGCTTCAGTCTTTCCAATCATTCACAAAGTAAGTTGATTTCCTTAAGCTACGAAAAAGAGTTGCTGAAGCTGCTGGCAGCTCATATTTCTTTTCTCTGATGCTTTTAACTGTACTTGCAGCTTCACCTTCAGAAGGAAGAAAAGGGACTCCTAACCAGATCATTTGATGTCTAAGCATATATTCCCAGACCAATTACAAAATGAAGAAAAAGAATTTTATTTTCAACTCTACTCAAAGCAAATTATAGGAAACATCAGAAAACATTAAATAGTTTGGTTCCGGCTGCTACAGAGAGAGCAGAGCTCTGTCTTTCTCGCTTTCCAAGGCTGAGTTAACTGAAAAAAGACAACACGTGAAAAATTCATTAGAACGTACAGCGGTGTCTCAACAGAAAGCTAGAGAGACTGACTGCTGCATGCCTGGTAATGGAGACTGCTTAAATAGGGTATAAAAGGCAAGCCACTTGCTGGTGACTTGATAAGGTATTAAAGAGGAAGAAATAAGATTGGTGCTTCATCCAGAAGAAATCTTTCTTGCTAATCGAAGTTAACTGAAGCCTGGCTCCTTCATCTTCAGTTTTAAAAAAATTATCTTCCTAGAAAGAAAGAAAAAATAGCAAAATTAAGGTATAGCTACACCTACTAATTCTTGTAATAAAAAAAATAGGGAAGAAACAGAAAGGGGAAGTAAAGATACGCCTACCTTGATTAACAGTTCTTTCGCCTCTTTTTGCTGATGAGCAGCAGAGTGCCTCTGTGAGGATTTGTACACTTTAGGACGATGACAGGAAAGTGAGAAAAAGAAAGGGTAGGCCCCTGACAAACAAGCTTTAAATAAAATTATTCTTGAATGTAGACAATATTTCTATATAAACCATGCATATGAGGAGTACCAATCCACGTGTCTCCCACATCTTTACCAGCATTTGCACTAATACACATGTTTGTATGACTGTCAGATTTATTCTATACAACTTGTTTCCAACGTTCTGTACCTCGACATCCTGAACACTGGATAAAGAAGTTGATTAAATCCAGAAGTGCTATGTCCCTGTCTTGTTTATATGATTCAATCCAGTCGTCCACCACAGACTGTCAAGAAAAAAAGAATACTTATCAGAGACTCTTAAAAAGTGCTTTATTAAAGGCAAATGTCTTATTCTTTTCAGAATATAATTTTATAACTGAGCATTTATTTTGCATAATTACACATGTGTACAAATTCAGAAATCTATATACCTTCTCTCAGGGTGGAGACAGAACAAATATTGTTAGAGAACAGGACTATATGCATTGTTTTCTGGTAGTATAATTGTATAAACACAAGTTCAAATTGATATTACTGCAATTCCTCAAAACTCTACTTACGGTATTTATCCAGTTTCAAAATTGTGTTGAAAAAACAAACACTGATTCCATTCAGAATTAGCAACATATATTCCCAGAAAACTGATGAGTAGAAACACTTTTGCACTTATATTGCACTTTTAAGTGCACAAAAACTGCACTTATATTGCATAGTGAACATCTCAGTATTTATAAAGGCCAAAGTAGCCTATCAGCCATTCAGAAACACTGTACATAGTTCAGGAAGACAGTATGCAACGAGGAATACTTGGTAAATAAAAATAATACACAGAAATCAGTCTTACAGTGTTTTGGAGTCAATGAGCCACCTGAATCACAGTATATGAAGCTGAGTCACAGTTTCAAACTGCACTCCGAACTGTAAGTACCCAGGAGATATTTTTATAATCACTGATATGCAGGCATAGCACGCAGTCATTATGAAGAATAATAGCAGGGAGGAGGACAGAAAGCATACAGGTGTCAAAAACATTTGTCATTTGTCATATATTCATCTCTGGGGACAGAAAATGTGCCTCGGTAGCTTGATGAGACAGGGCACTAAGTGAATTTTGCCAGTCAACACAGAAGAGCAATCACAGCATCAGAAAGAGTTAATGGCAGCTCTACATCAGCTGAAAGGAATGGGGCAAAGCCTATAGCTGCTTCCCATACAGATACTTTGCCCTACAGTTCTGACTAGAGAACCCAATCAGAGCTACATGGACCCATAATTTTTAAAACTCCAGATGCAGGTAAAAATGAAGCAATAAGGACAAAGAAAACAAAATATTTATGGAAACACTTAAAAACTGTTCTAGGAAAGCAAGAGGGCTGTGTGAGGTCCTTCTTCAGCCTGCTTCATGCTTAAGGAAGACAAGAATGGCTTCCTTTCATGTCCCTGAAATACAGTAATTTGAGTTCCACAGTTACATAAACGCTGAAGGTAAGGAACTGTGTATATTTAATGTAATCAAATACTATGCTTTACTTATTTTATGAGAGGAAAAAAAAATCTTTACTGTTCCATACATGTGGAAGCACTCATTCAGATAAGCTTAATTATGCTATCACAGCACACCTTGCAAGTGGATTACTTTTATTTTTGAGACTTAAGGTTTACAATTAATTTCTATAAAATTAATTTTAAAAATCCTAAACACACACACCCCACCAAACCAGCTTCCAAGCGTGATGAAAAAAGAATGAATTGGAAAGACAAAATCCAAACAATTCAATCTCTTAGAAAAACTTGGCCTCTTTCTAAAGTAGGAGATATAAGGGTAGGATCTTGAAAAAATCCCTCTGCAGTTTCTAGCTTATTCAAGTAGAAACTCCCCTATCGCCAGTTGGACCTTTGCAAGCGTACAAAAGAGAAGCAGCAAACAGTTGTGTATGTACTAGACTTACACAACTCTGAACTGAGCCAAAACACCCCATGTTTACCACAGATCATTATACTGGTTCTTAACCCAAGACAGGAGGAGACTACCAGTATGATCATGTTATTCAACAACCAGCATGAATCTCTAAACATTCAATTTGCTGGGAAACTAAGCTTTTACAGGTTTTGTCAACCAATACACACACACACATGCATGCCCAGTAGGAGAAGCAATTTTACAGAGGTCCATCTGCTACTCAGAAGAAATCAAAAAAGGAAGTGTTGGCCTCTAATTAATCTTCACATAACTTGAGGAAACATGAAGCAGCAGCACAAAACCAGTAGAGTGCTTCACTGTTATTTCATCATTAATTTAGACCCATTCCTGTAAGTATCAATCACTTCAATCACTCAGCAGAATTCTCCAGTGTGCATAAAACCAAATGCAGCCAAATGTAAAAATTATTTACTAAACCAAATATTGACAAAACTTAATGACCAGACCGATGGTGTACTACCAACTTAAAAGATTTGTTTGAACATCTATATTACTGCAGATATCAGAACAACATGCAATTGCCAGCAGCTGTTTTTTTCACTGAAGAAAACAGCAGCCATCCCAGGTCAGACCATGGGTTCACCTGCCCAGCAGGGCTTATACATGCTGGGAAAAGTTTAAGAATAAGGCAAGAATATACTGATGCTTCTGAGTTACTCTCCCAGACCCTTAAGACCCTAGCATATTTCTTCTCTCATGAATGTGTTTGTCTAAACCAGAATGCTTTATACCTACATCACCTTGCAGCAATGTGTCTCACAGGTTAATTATTCACTGCAAAAAAAAAAAAAAAGAATAATTGTTTTGGTTTAAACTCGGCAATTGATAGATCTATTTGATGCAACCTAATTCTTATGGAAGAAAACAAACCTCAAGACCCTAAGTTGTATTTTCCATGCTTCTGTCTGGTCACCTCTTTCCAGGCAGAATAATCCTACTCTGTGCTATGCGGCTTGCACAGAAATGCCTCCATATCTTTATCTTTGCTCACTCCTGCCACACATCTCTTAACAGTTTCTGAAGTCTACTATATTTTTCTCTGAGCCTGGGAAACTTCAGATGTTTTTCCCGAGTGTTAGTAACAAGCTCACCAGCACCTGTGCACTGTCCACAGCAGAGTTTTATGTGGAACACTCTCTGTAAAAGCAAGGCTGGCCTGAGAGATTCCTTTCCTCCTTCAGTCTTATTCCTGTGTCTTGCTACAGCATACTGCCCCTTCAGGTGTACCACTGCAGCTGCTTCTGGTCTGTGCTATAAATATTGCCATGAACCCATTTGGACTAAAAAAGGGGGGGAGCAGAAGGGAGTGACCTGGATGAATATATTTCAATTTTATTTCTTCTTCTTTTAAACAATTACTTAATTGATTTTTGTAGCACTGTCTCAGAATGATAGATCAGTGCAGCTCATCTCCCTCCTGATATTTTTTGTCTCTTCATACATAAAGAATTGTGAGGGACATGTTATGTCTGTCCTACCTAGTATAGCACGTGTATTTTCAACCCAGAACCAAAATGTAATTCACAGAAAAATAAAGACAAGCAGCTGATGTCCAGACTCATGGACCAGACTTGAGGCAATACAGAGTCTTTAGTGGCACCAGTAGATAGAGAAAGCAGCAAAATCAGAGTGTGGGTTCTGAGCAGGGACAGCAGGCAAAGACTGTCTCCTGTGTCATATGGACCTAGGAGAGGATTAACAAAGCTTTAACTAAAATTTTGAATGTTTGGGTAGGATTCATTTTACCTAACTCGACATGCACAGCCCATGTAGTCACACAAGCTACTCCCTTTATACGCAATGTAGTGTGTACGTGTGCGTGCACAAGTATACACATATATAGTCAATATTCAGTGGAGCTGTCAGCATAATTCATCTGTCTAGTGCAGGTATGAACAGTGAGATGAGATGGCTCCTGCTTAAAAATGCTCGTGATTACACAAAGTAGAACTCCACTGACTGTCTGAGGAGCTTAGGGTGACAAGTCACGTACAGGCACCTGACCTGTCGGCATCAGTACACAGTCACGCAAATTGTATTCACTAATCCCTAAAAATAAGAGGGGTGTTTTCAGTGTATCAAAATAACACCCACTGATCTACACGGTTCAACCCCGCCATGCACATTTGGCATGATTGTTGGTAAATTTTTGTAGAGACTACAGTTTAAGGCAACAGGAGATAATGAAGCCAGACTACGTATGCTACAACAGTTGGAACTTAATCAAACTGTTGACTTCCGACGTAACAGAAAAGAGCTATAAAAACTGAAAACACTAGGATGGAAAAAAAAATAAAAATTATACACATCAGATCTAAAATAGAGACAAGTATCAACTGAACCAAGAAAAAGCAGCAGTAATCCAAATACCAGGAAAAAGGTCAAGTAACAGTGAAAAAGAAATCAAACAACAGGCAATAGCGTAGTGAATGGTGCAACAAGCAGTCGTTGCCAGAAAAGGAATTATTTTGCATAAACATGCACAGAGAGAAAGACTCCCGTTAAAAACAAGGATTACTAAACACAGGTTACAGCAAACCCTCCAGGATGATTTTATCTTGTCCACAGCCTCCATCCAGTCACCCTGTTTTCAGGAGCTTCTGAGACGTAAGCAAAGAGCAAACTCTGGGCAACAACCCCCATTTGGTCACCACCTTGCCCAGAGACATCCTGCCCCAGGCCCCTCCCCGCCTTCTGTCCCAGCCACAGAACTGACACTGCAGGGAAGGCACATGCGGTGACAGGAGGAGGGAAGGTCAGCTCTTTGGGAAGGAGGTAGCTACAGACAGGCTCCATCCACCAGAAGAATTCACCCCCACAAGAGTCTGGTCACCTACTTCTGCAAAACACTTATGAAAGAGGGTAGGAATAGGTTGCAGGAGTTGTTCTGGTGGTACCCATCTGCTTCCAGATGTTTCTACCTTCAGATGCAGTAGAGAGCACAGATTTACCATATGGAAACGTGCACTTGCATGCTGTGCATGAAATACGTGATAAATTCAGCATTCCTGGGAAGCACAAGATCTACAGTACAAGTGCTGCAGCACTCTGCCCAGGTGCAGGAGATCCATGCTTTTGGGATTCACCCGATTCAGCACACGTGCACGAGGAAAAAGCTCCCTCGACAACAAGGTTATGAAGCACAACAAATGAGAAATTGCACAACAAAACTCTTTTGCTTCTCATCATCATTACCAGATTGGAGGGAGGCAAGGAGTGTTGGAACTAAATTTTAAGCAAAGTAAAAAAAAATATCTACCTCAGTTACGTAGATAAAACCTCCACATTACTCCAGTAACAGCC